TTTGATGTACATTTTAAGCTATGATGTGTCTGGCACCTCAGAGTCCCTTTAAATATTCGTCCGCCATGATGGTGTACCAACTTGGAACACCAAGATGGCCACTCCGTACAGTTTAACCAAAAATTACATCATATTTTTTTCATCTATAGTTCCGCAACAAAATGCTTACAGCCTTAAAATTTTGCCAAAATATGTAGTTTCAACTACTTTACAAGATTATATGAAACTTTAATGTCATAATGTGAATAACTTACACTTTTGAAATGCATGATGATGTAGGTGAACACCAAGAATATACAATTAAGATAAGCTGCTTTACATTATTAAAATCTTGTTTTATCTGTATTCATGCTTAATGCTTGTGCCATTCACTTTGGTCTTCACTTGCTTGATATCATTGCTTCTGGCCTAATTAGTTACATACAGTATATCCAATATTACTCCAGTTTCTAATTCTCTGTTACACGGGGTAAGCCTTGATTTCATATTATGGAACGATTTGGAATATTCATGTGTTCAAGTGAAGCTCTGTGCAGGGCTTCTGACAGGATGCGCGGGTGCGGACCCGCATAATTTGCCTTTTTCCGCACAATCGAACGATTTCCGCATAATCCGGCAAAATCCCGCATAATTCGTCAAAAATCTAAAGAAAACTAAATAATCAAGAAAAAATGTATTATAATGTTTTCTTATTTTGATGAAATTATGAATTTTTTATTGTTTACTTACCAAATTTCAAGCAATAAACAGCGTTTAAAACTTTATATTGAATCATACGCCATCGTGTAATGAAAAGGAACAAGGCGTTCTTAGTTAAAAAACGTGAAAAAGAGCCTGGTAACTAGCCTTGAATAAAACGTATTCTCTGATTGGCTAGAAGTCAAACAATAGCAGACATAGATAGCAAATGAGAGTTCTGGTTAAATACATGTATTCGCAGACAAGATTTTCGCGCGTAAAATAATATTTCTCTCGTAAACATTTGACATCTAGCGACTTCTAAAATAGCTCAAAATGGATAAATTAAATTAAATTAAATTACGTTACAATTGTTGGCTCTGGGCCATTTACATTTCCACAGCTGCATGAAGTAGACCAAGTGTATCAGTGGTTGAGGAGAAACAGAAAAGTCTAAACCCTTCTATTTTATTTCACCAGAGCCGCATTTTAATAGCACCCCGAGACAATTACATGTAGGCAAATGCGGAGTCTTTTGATGTCTAGAAACTGATTACGATCGTTAATCGTTACCATCGTAAACAAGTATATTTAAGCCTAGGGTTAGCTTAACTGGCACTGTGATGTTCAGTTTTAAAAATATAATATTTCAAAAGCAAATACATCATAGATAAAATTGAAGAAATTAAAACGACTTAAATTATGCTATTTAAGGATTTTGATTTTGTGGAGCGAGTTAATTTCCTATAATAAGGCGTACATAATAGATAATCTATTAACTACGAATATGCAAACGATTGTTGTGCAAGGTGAGGTGAGGTGGTAAATAACGTTGAGRTTTTTTGTTGAGCTTCAAAAACAGATCATAAATTTAAGGTTTCGGAAAAAAAAACATTCAAAGCAATGTTTTGGAGAGAAGCATATCGAGAAGAATTGCATGTAGTGCGAAGAACACGACGATTACACGTGTGGATTAAAAACCTGAGATAAACAAGACCAGTGTCAAATAAAGAAGCAAAATCAAGGTAAAACTGTAWATAATTGCGTAAAACTTTAGATAAACAAAGTTTGGAGTTAAATAAAGAAGCAAAATTTTTAAAAAACGTGTATAATCCTGTAAAAAAAATTCAGAADTTTTTTCGATCGTGACGTCATCCCGCATCCTATTCCGCATAATTTGCCATTTTCTCCGCATAATCCGGAAAAAAATCCCGCATAATTTCAATTTTTTTCCCGCATCCTGTCAGAAGCCCTGTCTGTGGAATTTCACAGGGTACTGTACTGAGGTATTTTTGAAGGTGTGATTTTTTTACTTTAACTTTGGTATTTGTGAATATTTGTACACTGAAATAAGGCTAACCCTGTATATTAATTAATGAGTCTGTATTAAAGAAACGCAATTGTGGCATTTGACAGTCTAAAACAGTCTATTAATTATGATTCATTTTTGCAGATGATATTTTTAAAATGATCAAAGAGAAGGTTGATAATGGAGAACTAACAGATACGAGTGACATGATTCTTCAGTCTCCAAAGGAAAAGAAAAGCAAGCAAAGCAAATTATCAGTTATAAAACAAGCAATTAAATCATCAAGCCAACAAGACAATACAGAGCAAGGTTTGACTTATATGATTCTTCTAATGAATAAAATAATTTTTATTACTTTAATTTTAGACTTGGATATAGAGTTTTTCCCCTTCTTAGTTATTTTAAGTCCCTGAGTGTTGGTCCGGCCGAGGCTTGAACCACCATCTCCCGAATAACAGACCGTTGCTATTAGCAACTGAGCTTACCTGCTGGCATTGTCCAAAGACTAATATCAACAATACAGTGATGCTGACTTTAAATTAGTAGATCAGTTCTTTCCATTTCATGGGATTATTATATGAAATACCTTCAATGACAGCATTCCAAAGATGGCATGACATTGCATGTTTGGAATGGGAAAACATAAAGCATATATTTAAGTATTTTTGTCCAAAAATCTTCTACAGATTCACATTTTTTTGTCATTTGATGGAAAGGATCGAGTATGGATTGATTTGTTTGAAACTCTGCCAAAATGATTTGTACAGCAATATTAAACAATTATTCGGCAAAGGCGAAGTGATTATCTGGGAATATTTACCGAACCGCAAGTCTTCGAGCAACGGTAACAGCAACAAAGCGGCTGGCCGCCATTTTGGATTTTTGCTCGAGGTGATTATGGTGTGATGGTGTGAGTTTCTTGACTAATCAGATATTTTCTATAATCACCTGGCGTATTTTTTTACTAATTAAATTTTTAATTTTTGTTTTTTTGAATGAGTTGCATTCATTCCATATTGTTATAGTTAAAAATTAAATATATACTTTCCATATTTTTATGTATACATTCAAGCATTACTGGTACAATACAGCAATAATACTCAACAGAATAGCAATGTACTTTGGTGCAATGGGAAATTACTTTATACCCAAAATGATAGACTACTACTTCAATAATATAGCCTTCATCTTGGATTGCAAGGCATCGTAGGGTATCTAGGGGGTAAAACAAAATGAAGATGGTAGATGTAAAGTATGATTGTTTGTGTCTTTTTTTATGGGTAGAGGTGATCAATATGCCAGCTTTGGCTGTAATAATGGCAGGCAATGTAAAGAAAATACAGTATAATTATCATCAAGGCTCACATTAGTATAGCTCTATATTTGCCCCCTGGACACCCTAATATGTCTTGCGATTCAAAATGGCCATCGTACTGTCAAAGTACAGTCTTAAAATATTTATTGATTCTTTTGTGAAAATTTTAATTCTTCTCTGTATTTGTTTGTACTTTTCATTACTAGGTGAAGATGCCTTCAAAACATCTTTGGTTGATGATTTCTTTATTGATACAAATCCCAGTGAAGAAGTCAATGAGGGTATTGAGAATCATATCGTAATATTTATTAATGTTTTTATGTCTGAGTTGATGTTCTATTTATTTATTTATTTATCTAATATATATCTAGTGCATCCCTTTCCCACTTGCCTACTAATTGATAGTTTACGATTATTATAGACCTTTTAGGCTAGGGCATGATGTTTTCCCATTTCAGACCACATGTTATTCCCTAGAGTATCATTTCTTTTTTTAACACTTGGATATGAGAAGACCTATGAATATGAATACAACACTGTTAAAACAAAGAATCGTATTTTCAAGAGAATTGACTTATATTAAGCGTTTTAAAATTCACATGACGTCATAATGACATAAGCAATATTTCTTGCCTTAATTATAGCGCTTGGGCTTGAAAATTCAAAAATCTCAAAAGATACAATTTTGGATCATTACTAGTGTAGTTTTTGTAGAAATTTTAGTGTGACATTATGAATTCAAATTGATGAATGAAGTGATAGTTTTTATAAATGCTTTTCAAATCTTTTTTCCTGCCCTTTTTTTTTTTTGAAATTTGAAATTTCTATAACTTTTAACTGCCTTGACCAATCGGGATACGGTTTTCAAAACCATGTTGGTTATCTCAAGAAGCGTCTCAAAACACAGTCATATTTCACGAAGCATGAATCAGGTTCAACGTATATGAAAACCAATGGAAAACCATGTTATGACATCATTATGACGTCATACCCGTAGCAGTAACGCTAAAAACTATTTATCCCAATCCGTCTGGTCAACCCTGATATTCTTGCTGATGAATGTCTGACTTGTAATTTTGAAACTACCCCAACCTTGCCAATTTTGAGGTCATTTGTGCTTGACGTGGGACATGATGAATAATTTCTGGAACTACACTTTCTATAAAAATGATTGGGGGTATTGAATAGCACTCACAGATTTTTTCCTTTTTCCCTGTAGAATGCAGTAATATATGTGGCACAGCTGCAGTAACAAACAAATCAAAATATTCAGCTATGGTAGGCAAATTATAACAATAAGTTTATTGCACAGTAAAATCATATTCTGATTTTACTAAGATTTCCAGTCACACACGACAAACTTCTCCTTCATCACAGATGAAAAATTGAGTTTTGGTGGACATCAAAGGGTTTCTTAAAAATGTCCCGTGATTCAGACTCACAATTTCAAACACTTGACTGCAGAGCCATTGGTACTGACTTACAGTACCTGATATTGAAGACACTCGTTCAAATAAAAATTCTTAATAGCGATAGCTTTTGTTGGTAAGCGTTTGAAATTCAGAGCCAGAATCCTATGACATCTTGATTTTAAAGAAAATATATCCCTAGCGAGAAATTCTACAGCAACAAGAAGCATGAGATAAGGGCAACAAATGGTGTTTGCATGTGTATGTGTATTCATTTGTCATTCATGTGAGCATTCACATCCTGCTGTCATAGGAACCCTTTTGATTGACATCCACCAAAGCTCAATTTTTTTGTTTTTGATGAAGGTCTAGTCTGTGACTGGGAACTGCAGTGATATAATTACTGATAGTTTTTTCAGCGTATGTTTATTAGTCTACCGGTAAATTATCTTTTAGAAAACAGCTTTAATTTAGATCTGTGTATTTTTCTGGAAATAAATGTTGTGTACAATATTATATATGCCTGTAGTTTGTCCACACCTGAAGATTTGTTATCTAACTGACAATTTGTATTGTTTGAATATCTTAATTCCCAGGGTCTTTCAGATGACAAGTCTGCATCACACCACAAGGTCAAAAGACTGAAGAGTGAAAAAGATATTGCAGCCAATAAAAAGAAAAAGAAAATTAAGAAAAAGGGCACTGATGAAAGTGAATGAATAAAATGAACAAAGACTTTAAAGTCAAATTGAATTTATAAATAAGTAAGATATATTAATTTTGCACTTTCACTAGGCCTTGGCATTTAAAAGATATGTAAGTGTTCACTTGCTGCAGCAGTGCTTAAGTTGCATGTACATAATTATGATAACTTTATAAAAGGTTTTGTATAAAAAATTATTGAAAAGATGTCATATTACATCCTTTATTAAGTGATTCTCACTTCCATTATTTCAAGAGTAAATGAACAAGTGCAGGACTAGCTGTCAAAGTAAGGACCAATAGGACTATTATGGCATCATTAACTACAACTACCAGAATCCTTTGCACACTCTCTAACAGCTGAGCAGTGATAGATTGACTGGTCAATAGGACGCTTGCATTTACTTCCAGAATCCCTTGAACACTTTCTTTTGTTCAGTTAATTAACATCAATTGTCTGTCTTACTATTTTCATGAGGGAATACAAATTTGAATATTAGAAGGGAAAGTTTGCCAAGCATTTTGGTAGTGGTAGTAAATTGATTGGCCATTAGCAGTCAGCCATGAATGCAGCTTAGATATGTGATATGGTTCTTGAAAAAGTAGGCAACAAAGTAACTTTTCCTAGGGAACTTGTCAAAAAGCAAAGGGGAGAGTAAACTAGAAAATGCTGGAGCTGGGTCACTTTGTTTGAGCCCCAAATAAGGGGTGGGTGATGAGATGAAAGGTCTTCATTAAAGTTGGCTTGTCATTTTTTTGAAAAATTATATAGTGCACTTAAAACAATGGATGGGTCAAGCGTTTTTTTGCTTTTTCATGGACGCCCCCCTACTTTCTGACCAGTCCCTAACCATTTAAGTAGATGTTAATATATAACTGGAAAACTAGAAAAAAATCCTTATGAGTTTTATATTTCTCTATTTATTAGTATGTTGAAATAAAAGGGAGATTTATTCTCATCATACACCTGTGATATGAAACGTGCATCAATAACATAATTTAGAATTGTTGGCATGGGGATTGGGATTAGGCTGTGTTCATAATGTATGGCAGGGGGGGGGGGGAGGGGCAGGTGAGAATTTGAAATGTCCAGCCAATTCTTTAAAAAAATATGATTCCCCTAAGCAAGGCTTGTAGCTCCTTCCAAAAATTGTGCATTCCCCCATTTTTCTGATAAACATTTGCCCATTCCCCCCTTTCCCTACCAAACTTTTCGCGATCCCCCTCAATTTCTCTGTGTGGTCATTTTTTGAATCTAGCCAGTATTAAGATTTTTTTACCCACCAGTATTAACTTATTATTTCTTACTGGTGGGGAAAAAAATCTTAAAACGGGCTGAAAATTCAAAAAATAACCTCACAGAGCGAAAGAAGTGCTATTTCCCAATGATCGGGAAAATTTCGAGGCTTTAATTTCATGTTTCAATGATTTTATTGTAATTTTAGATGAATCCCCATATATTTCCTTATAACATGACACCACAGAAACCAAGCTTGGGATACCTGTGTTTAGACTATTTGTTTCGTTTCCTTGTTTACATTACGGCCTACTTCCGATTAGCCTCGACTTGAGAACCAATCCGGGATCTCACCCTGGGACTTTTCCCACTTCATGCCTTAAATAACGAAATACAAAAAGATACAAAAATACTTAGATATTTCCATATTCTTTTTATTGTTCCTCATCTTTTTCTAGAAGTGTGTTTTTCAAAAACGTTAAAGTTTTTTTTTTCGTTATCGACTATAGCCTCTCTTCAGTGCAAATTTCTCGGAAACAAACCGGAAGTAAAACGTTTTAGCTATTTGGTCACCTTTCCAAGAAATGTCTCGATTGCATCGGGGAAGTCCCAATTGTTTCATGAAGAAACCTTTGGTTTCGGTTTTATTTAACAGTCTTTATGTGGTGCTCTTCTGAGGAGTATCTTTTGAAAATTGTCTGCCGTAGAAAAGCGACTCTATTCGTAAGTATTCTTATAACTTTAAATATAATCTGAAATTTTCATAACATGCTAAACATATTTTAGACAAGATGTGCGAACCTCTTCAAGTCTTTCTTTTAGTATTCACCAGAAAATGGTTGGTTTTGCTCGTTTAATACTAAACTTTAACTACTACTAAAGTAAATTTTAAGGAAACAAAGGAAGTATTACGAGGAGAGAGCAGTTATTGAAGGCACTGGCCATCATTAACTTAAGTAAACGTACTTCGAATATTCAACCATTTTGTTAGAGAAATGACTTACTTTCAGAATATAATGGCCTTTGATGCACTGAGATACTGCTGGTATCTGTAAAAGTATAGGCTAAATATTGTACGGGTTTTACACAAAAAATTGGAAATAAAAAAAGCATTTAAAATTTACTCTCTAATTTCTATGACAATATTAAATTGAAATAATTTTCAGATTTTTCTTTCTTTTATTATTTTGCCTAGTATAATTAGGAAATTGATGTTCTTTGGATTGAAAGTCAAGCAATAATTTAAGGTGTTTCTCGCCTGATTGCATGGCAAATAATATAAACTTATTTCAATAAAGTTTAAGCAGATCACCTGAAACCAGTTAAAAGTTCACCTCCTCTGAGCATCCTCAACTGCTGCAGTTTGTGTCAAAAGCTTTACTTGTAGGATATAAAACATTTCCCAGTGATATTCTCAGCGATCACAGCTTTCTAGGTTTCTGGTGACTAACTTTATTGAAATAAGGATATATTGTACTCACAATAAAGCTATACTTGCATTGCCCAGTGGGTCAGGCATATGCATGGGGACAGGTCTGTCAACCCCCAAGATATTCAAATCTGGAGAATTGATAGGGAAGGGAAGGGACATGACATCACAGCGGAAAAAACCACGCGAAAAGACATCATTCACTTTGTAACATTTGATCTGATTGGTTTATTTCTGACCAATCAGATTATCACTYATAAGTTACAACGGCCTGCTTGCAATAACAGTTTATGAGGAATGTTTCGATTTTGTTGACAATGTAAAATAACACAAACAACACAAATTAATTGGAATTTTATGGTTGTGAAAGTCGAGTCTCACAAGAAATGGTCAGCTTCGGCGATTATCCGGGAGATTTGAGACTCTAATCTGGAGACTGGGAGATACGGTCCAAAATCTAGAGACTCCTGGTTTATCCGGGAGAGTTGACAGCCCTGTAGGGGATGAGATAGACAAAGAGAGACAATTAGCTAGATTGGTATTCATACAACCGCACTGTCGTTATTGTTATGGTCATAGCTAATGAATCAACTCTATATGCACAGAGTCACTGACAGTACTAGTCTACCCAGGTATTAATTCTTGGGGTGTATGTTTTCTTATAGCTGCTTATCTTCAGGTTGACAATGTCATGTAGCATCCTTCATTATAGCTTCTCTTTTTAAATTAACCAACATGGTGGCTGTTGGCCAGTTATTTATATATTGAGGGATTTTTAGTCATTTGGATTGCACTCCATTAATTTTCTATGGCCAGTTATAGCATTGCTGATGCAATGAAAACAATGAGAGGTTCTAGTAGCTACATGTAGTATGCATGCACAACATACCATGAGGAGACACATGAATATGATGATATAGCAAATTGCATGATTTCAAGTACAATTCAGAATTTATATAGGTACGAGTGATGTTTTAAAAGTTTTCAAAATTGGACGAGCCTTTTAATTGGGGGAGTCCAATTTGAGAACTTTCAAAATACCATGAGTATCTATAAATTCCGAATTGTAGGAGAAGATTGTGTGATTATTTGTTTATGATACACTCAACAAACTTGAGCAACTTAATAAGGACTTTACAGCATGAGTACAATTTGTATAGGTAATCATATGGGTCAGGGTAAAATTAAAGATTCATTTCATGGGTGTTTTCAAAGTTTTGAGAATTGCCTGATTTGATAAAATTAAATATAGATTTATTATAGATAATACCATAATCACCTCAGGATCTATTGTTTTTGGAGGGAGGTTCAATGACTAACATCCCTCCTTTATGAATAACATGAGAGAAAATTAGTTCTAATAGTCCCTCATTAATTATGGATGAGGGAGTATTAGAACTAATAATTATGAATGAGGGAGTATTAGAACTAATACTCCCTCATCCATAATTAATGAGGGAGTATTCTTTATTTACTAATGATCTACACAGAAGAAATGATTGTAATATAATACTTTTTTCTTATTTAGTTTAAACAGACATTTTTTTTATTATGCATGCATATATTAACCTTGATAGTGATTTTGACATTTTTAATTGAGTTTTTAAATTTGCTCCTTGAAAAACTCCTCACAAATTAACTCTGGTGCTCAATTTCTCTGTCTTATCTTCATACTCTTCACATGCTGAGACAAGCAGTACATCATCTTCATTTTGGCTTGGGCTCGTATACGTACTTTTTTCCGCTTCCTTTACCATCGTTGTGTTATTTAGGGCATTGTACACCTTCAAAGCAAATTAAACAAGTCAAATCAAACAAAGAAAATATTTTTCACTTCAAAGTTCTTCAGTTCTCCCTTGAGACTATATAGATTAGACACATTTGAAAACAACTTATTAGTATTCATAGTAATTCAACTTAGAGTGGTTTTCATAAACCCTTGAAATGCAATTTAGTCTGATAAGCTTCAGTACACTCACTAATACCATTGTGCTCTTTTGTTGTCATTTGACTATCACACTTATTAGTTACAGTTTGTTCATGGGTTTATGAAAAACACTTAAATCAGTTTTAAAGTCATTCTATGCTCTTTTACTTCCTCCGAAGTTATGGTATTAATGAAATAAATGAGACGCTGCATAGCGCATGCGTTGTAAATGATTCATTTGCATCCCACGTCATGTGTAGATGTGTTGAGGTGAGTCTTGAAGAAATCGAAAACTATTGTTTTCATTGGGTCCTCAGGACCTACTGTAGTCCCTGGAGATTGTAAATGAGGGGCTATTCCTCATAAATAGGTGAGTCATGAGGGATGAGCAGTTTTAATGTTTTTATCGTCCCTCATTAATGAAACATGAGCGATGATTTATAGAAGTAATTGTCCCTCATGTTTCATTGATGAGGGATGATTATAACTAATGCACCATTGACTTTCACCTTTTTGCTAATAGCATTCAAGGTTTACAGCTCTGTCTACAAACTTCGTTTATTCTCTCGGAGATCATGATATTACAAAATAATACCACAGTGGCATCTTCGGGATATTAGGGATTAAATGTCACAGACAGCCGAGGGAAGTTTAGTACCTTGATCGGCCTACGGCCTCGGGACTTCTACTAAACTTCCCTCGGCTTCGGGGACATTTAATCCCTAATATCCCTCAGAGCCATGGTATTATTTATTAAAAAACAATAATGATACAATAATACGAAGATGTAGCTAATCCTTTTCTAAACTTTGTTCATATTTGAATAATTGCAACAAAGTACAAATGAGTGCAATTAGTAGGATTTGCATAAACAATTTTAATTAATATTTTTGAAATAAAGAGAATAGTGCAAATAAGTAAACTAGTAATTGTGGGACTGGATGGGGGGGGGGGGGGGGGGACTCTCTTGAAAAATGACCCTAAAAGGTATGCATAAATTAACTGAGATGCTGATTTCAGACCCTAAAACGTACGACCACACTTAGAATGACAACGTTTCCAACCATGTTATTCTTGTATGACGTTTGATATTTTTCAAAACGAACAAATCTGAACCTAAAAGGTACAGAGTCAGCTGGGAGTCAGTCAGAGACCCTAAAAGGTATGCGATGTCTCATTTTTGACCCTAAAAGGTC